GAAAGAAAGGAAAGAAAGAAAGGAAAGAAAGAAAGGAAAGAAAGAAAGGAAAGAAAGAAAGAAAGAAAAGAGAAAGAAAAGAGAAAGAAAAGAGAAAGAAAAGAGAAAGAAAAGAAAGAAAGAGCGTGTGCATGTGCGAGTGTGTGCGTGCTTGTGCGTGTGCCGCGTCTCCCCCTCTTTCCCCAACAGCCCCGCGGCAGCCAACGACGCGCTCTATTCTACGCGTACTACTCGTTTGAAATTTCATATTTCGGAAACGCTTCGTGATGACTTGTATTCCCCTCTTGTTTATAGTATTGAAGAGAAAATGCACCGAATTAATTTGGGTGTTCATATGCGAACGTGCGAATAGGCACGAGCCGCCATTGGTTTCAGACGCTTGTTCACAAAACCATTATTAAAAATTAACTTTACGATAAAAATCAATATGACCATAATATACAGTGAAACATTCAAAATGTAATGATCTATAACACAGCATATTGCAGTACCTACCTACTCTTCCTAGAAAACTGGACGTCTATTATACCAGTCTCCTTTTGAAGGAAAGGATTTCGGACTGCTTCTGAGCGTTTTGAATTCCTCTCTTCACGTAGCCACTGCTAACCGACGTTCCGAGACAATCTGAAATGTTAACAGAAGAGCTAAAAAGAAAAGTGTGCATAAGGGCCAACACTATGGGCTCAAGACCCTTCCCCACACAACCACCACCACCATCGCAAAAAACAGAGGGACTTCCTCGCCCAAAACATTGACAATTAAATATAACATAATACATGAAACACTGGAAACAGTGACGGCAAATCAGATTAGGACGACAACTAAATATATATCACGCAGAGCTACTCACATTTAAATGTACTTACTCCTCTCGCGATGTTACTATAACTTTCAACTGAATAATATCCATAACAATTCCATGTTGTAATGGAATCATTCATGGTTATCATCACTGAAGTATCCCGAACTGTCGCCAGTATTGAATTAATTTACTACAAACTTGTTTTCGAACGATGCTAATTTTGGCAAAAATGTGTCTCAATTTAAATAGATCACTTGCAAGACTGAGCAAAAATCTGAATTCCATGCGTTCTCGTGGAGTTTTTTAATTTTATTATTTACACCAGTTATCCTCTTCATTAAACTATCTAGTTAAGCCTTTCCGCGGTACTTTGCGGCCAATAGTTGCTGAAGTTATTTAAATTTCGCATTTCGCGTTATTTAAATTTCTTCGACCGCGCGGCCTCCGGCCCGCTTTACGAAATGATTTTAATTCCGTTAATTACGAAATGAAATGACGTGATTTGAAGCATTGCAATCTCATGTCGGTCTAACTGAACTCAATTACAGTATTTATTATGGTACAGAATGCTTGAAGGCAATAATTAACTGTACAGTTCAAATTAAACTTCAAATAGCAGGAGAGGAAACTACCCGACAAGAAAGAGGTTTGCAAGACTAGAGCACTTTAATCACGCCTTCTTGGATTGTGTTCCACCGATTCACCGCGGGGTCTCCATAGGCGGTGTCATCCAGATTTTGTCTCAACTCTCACAAGGCGCTGAGGAGATTGGGAGCGTAAGGGCACAAACAAGATTTATAAAAATATTAACTTTCTTTTTCTAAGAAAGTATTTTGGGGACCTTTCATCGGCAGCTCCGACATTGCGAATCCTCTATCAACCAATGTCGTATTTCGAAGCGCGTACTATCGTCTTCAATTAAAAGTGCAATGACACGTTCTAATCCATGGCCGTGCGCGCAGGTTTNNNNGGGGGGGGGGGTCCGTCTTTCACTTTTCTCACAACTTCACTTTTTTTGGAAGGGCCCCGTAGCCTTTGGTAATAGCACACTAATATTTAATTCTCATTGCACTTTTATTTTCTTGTAAAATATTTTGTGCAAGTAAAAAAATATTCTGCAATACTTTTATTTGAACTTTTCGTTTAACTACATATGCTTAATGGCCGGTAAAACAGAGAGCAAATTGTCAGGCATTGAAGAAACATTGTCGCTGGAAGAAATAGCAAACTTTAAATATGCGACAATAACATCTGTGGTAGCTGAACACTGTTTTTCTCAGTACAAATCAATTTTGAGAAGCAACAGAAAATAGGTTGTTTACAAACCTTAAAATGTAAACTGTAATGGAAAAAATTAAGTCCTTCAGCAACAGTTCCAGTCCTAATTCAATTGTCATAATTTGCAGTGTTTTGATAGACTATATGTTACTTACATCATCAGTAATAAATATAAGGGACGAAAAGAACAAATTATGATAATGTCATCATTTTTAAGAGGTTTTGTATAGTACATATTTTCATCATTATTAATGCATAAATACCCGTTTCAAACCTCAAATTACACACATTTTACATATTTTAATGAATAACTACCCGAGCCTTACTTTACAACTGCTTATGACAGTAATCGTGTAATAGACGTTATTACATTTATTTTCTTCTTATAATATACCTAATCCATTATTATACTGCAAAATTTCCCGTGTCCACATAGTTTTGGGAGTCGCCGTAGAATTCTGCACTGTCTGGCCAGAAACCTCTGAGCGGCCCTTTCCCAACCCTTGTCTTCCATTGCGACCTTGAAGCCTCGCGCGGCGATCGGCCCCCCTCTCCCCCCCCCCGCCCCGTCAAACCGACATGGCTAGCCTCTGATCTACACTTAAGCAAGTGTCATGAACGACGTTGATTCTCATACAAAAAAACGCATGCCCGCAAAAATAGTTAAGAAGGAAATTAAATAAATGTTTCAAAATTAGTGTTACAGTGAAATAACGCCAATGAATTAAATCTTATTTAAATCTATTAATAGAGTTACCGCCAAAACAGTTTTGAAATAAAACATTCGCCATTCAGTTTTAAATTCATATTCGGACAACCCCATGCCCATCCCCTGAAACCAAACCACTAAAAAACCACACCATTTTATCAGCCAAACGAGATTCTACTAAATGGTCAAGACGATCTAGTAGTATTGACTTCAGCCTAACGAGTTTTCTTTATTCATTGACTTCCGTTATTTTTAATAAATTCAAATCTTATGTTTAACCAATACATTTGATGTAGTGCAGAGTTTTTCTCTGCGTCATTTAACAAAAACTGTGTAATGACCAACGATATAATTAACGACTAAGAACTTTGTAACGACCGATGGCTGACAATATAATAGCTTCCGTTAGGCGCGGGTATGTATGAGAATTTTTCTACACTATGGGCGTGAGCGATCTCGCAGATTGCGGAGATATTTTTTTTCCTTTTGCTGAGTAAACGCAGTTGGTATTAAAGAGTTGTCCTTGATATCTGCTTCGATATTATATTAGTAATTTCATTACTGTGACCAACTCCAATCATCTCCGTTGTGAGCTTCAGACGCGTTTTTGTACTGCCAAATCGCCGCGTCTAACCTCGCAATTTTCTGTTTTTTGTATCATTACTTCTGACATTTTCTATAATTATCGGAGGTTACATGAATACCATGAGTGCTTTGTATATTGTTGATAAATCCCCGACTAGTGAAGCGAGGAGTATTTCCAAAGCACGTGATGTATGTTAATAGGACTATTCCACGAATGGAATTACGTCTAACAGAGTTCTAAAATGCGTCAAATACAGAAAACAACTGAATGCATGTTAAAATCAAAGAGGGTATGTTATAGTAAATAGAGAGTGCATTGCACATTGGACACAGCGATCGATACATACAGACTCCTAACATGGCGTCGCAGCTTATTAAAGGCTAGTAGAGAGGAGCAGTAAGAAAAATCAGTTAGAAAAAGCGATATTTTTTTTGTGACACACCGCCCTGGATGGGGTATTTTATATGTACAGTCAACTCTATTAGTTTTAATTTCACGAGTGGAATAGTCATAATTTACATCACTAGATTCGCAAGTACAGTTCGCCATGTATATTTTCTTCTTATGGATTCGAACATGATCTTCAAGAATGAGGAATGGATGAATTTTATTATATAAAAAGTCATTCTATCGCATTGCATGTACCCAGTTTTTTAAAGAACTTCATTTTAGGCAAAAGCACATTACTTTCTTTTGATCCCTTTTATATTTTGGAGGTAATTCACCTGCGAGATTGTCGCACCTGAACTCTGTTTACGCCGCATCTAAAGGTAATCGAATATAGCATGCATAAATCGAATTTAGTATGCTTCATATCGTACATCATTATGCAATATTCTCATTAATATGCGGTAGTATTCAAAAACCTGTAGAGAGCTTTGCATGTGCAGTACAACCTCGGTAATCCGAAACCCGCAATTTTGGATAATCCGAACAAAATTCAGGAAGAAGGAAGAATAAACAAAATTAATAAAACGGTTATTTGTAGTTTAAATAAAGGATTTTATAACTACTGTATAATTAATTAACTAATTATTGAAATAAGTTATCGAAATGAAACGTTTATTGCACTGGTAACTACGGCATATATCATATGTTTATGTAGCAGTAATTTTCACGTAAAGGAACTTGCAAAATCGGTAATCTTCTTTTGCTGTAAGGAGCCGAATCTGCTTGACGATACTACGTGATGATGCGATCGCTACGCTACGTTGTATTATCGAGAATCCTTTAGATATATTTCTATATGTACGGTACGTTTTTTCGGATAATTCCAACATATCCAAATCCGAACAGACCACATCCCAAATTAGTTCGGATTACCGGGGTTCTACTGTATCTCCATCATCAGCATAATTGTTTATTCAACAACACGATAGATTTAACTACGATGGAAATAATACTTTCATCATGGATATTACAAATAACGGCCTTCCAGCGTTCATCCCAACAGCGCGAGATGAAATGATAATGTTTCGCAATTCGAAAATACCATCATAACTCCCACAATAATAATTACCACAATTTATATTGTCGACGTTCGACTTACCTTGGATGTGAACTGTCTGAGACATGCCGATGCCTCGCTCCCGCTTTCAGTGTTGTTCCGAAAGCCATGCTGAGACGCACGGGTGGTGCCCGCTCGCTGGCCGCCTCGCTGCGAATGAAGGCGACCGCGACCTCTCCTTGTGCAGGGGCCCGAAGCGCCAAGGCCGGGGGGTGTGGAGGTGGTGAGGGAGGCGAGCGGCGGTGCTGACGGAAGCCGCGAAGGACAATGCTCGTGGAGGTGGAAGGAACTGCGGAAGGTTGCTGCGAGAGCTACGACTCGGCGCGGCGGAAGTGGAAAAGTAGAGTGCTTGATTGACTGTTACTGATTTCGGGCGCGTAAAATGATGTCATTAGTCCCGAAAGTGTAGAGCATGTGTTTTTCTCGGGAGGTGGCGGTGATCTTCCCTTGCAGGATGGTGAGATCCTTCGCCGGCCTACCGTCGGCTAGCGGGGTTTTCCCCAACCAGGTATCTCCCACCAGCGGGGCACCGGGGCAAGGTCTAAGCTCCCGACCGGTCTCTCGGCGTATGTAGTAGTGTAGTGAATGTAAGTGTAAACATGTGTAAGTAAGGGGTGAGGATAGGAGAAGGGAGAGGAAGGAAAGATCCCGCGCGGTTCGTAGCCTGTTAAGATACTGCTCTGGCATTCGCCTGGTATTGATCGGAGAAACTACGGAAAGCTACCGATCAGAGCAGCCAGCCACTACAATTTACCTCCGGATAGCGACTGAATATCATGCTAGACATAACTTGTGTCGAAAATCAAATACGCGTCAATTCGTCGAATTCGAACATAATGCCTCATTTCGATTATTGTGATTTCCTGCTTACGGATTTAAAGCTCAAGCAACAACACAAATTTTAAATAGCACAAAATGCATGCATTCGTTTCATATTCGATCTTAGGTGATACGATCATGTATCTATTTTACGTTAAAATAAAAATTCTCTCAATCCAAAAGAAGAGAACTTTGCACTTATATTACAACTTTAAAATGCTGACGCTTGAACGATCACGTTCCTCGCGATTACTAAGATATCTCGGCATAATACGGTATCCTACAGTAAGTCATTTACTGTCACTGCAATTAGAATTTGGAACTCACTCTCCGCTTATCTAACCGCTTATCTAAAACGTATTAGCGATTTAAGAAAATTTAAAACTCAACTTAGTGATTGGATTAAAACAATTTACTATAAATAACACAAGCCCCTATTGCCAATTTCTCACCCAAATTCAACACCCCGTACGCTATCATCACTGATCAAATTCGGTTGCATTTCCAGACATCAAGCTGTCTTGTACTTTGCTCCCCAATGCCGTATCTTCCTGTCTAATCCAATGCTCTAAAACAAGTATATTACATAATTAAGTTTTCACACTTGTTCACTCTTTGTATGGTACGATGTTTTCTTGCTACGTTGTACTTATCTTGTTCGTCTGCCTGCTGTCTGTTCCTTTTTTTTTTTCTGTCTCAGACTATCCTCTAGACTTGAGCCATTTTTTACGTTCAACTTGAAAAACTACATTACATATAAGAAAAACGTTATATTCGTATTATCATCCTTCCCCTTCCACACTTTCCCGTTTCATAATTCATTCTAACTCGCTCTACCTTCCTTCTGCCTTTACACTTTTCCTTTAATCTTTCTATTTTTCCCCATTGTGCATTAGCTTTCGACAAATTTAATCATCTTTAATTTTTTAAATGGAACCATATATTTTTCTGACTAGCAATAGATTGTTCATAAAAGACGAATGCAATGATGTAGCATTGCTAATATTTGATAGTATTTTGTGCATAAAATTATACTTTCTGATCTGTGATTTTAAATTCAACGTGCAATTTTTTTCTGTCGGTGTCGTCGCGACTGTCGCTTTTGGCGAACGTGACCTTCGCGGCCTCTCCCCTCTCCCCATTAAAGTGCCGGTGCCGCAAAGGCAACCTTCACCAACGGAGACAGTTGAAAGGGTTGCTAGGAAATCTTGTAGTTTTAATTTAAAATCACACGGCGGAAAGTATAATTTTATACTCAAAGTACTATCAAAACATTAACATGCGTTACATCATTGCATTTGTCTATTTATGATCTATATATTGTTAGTAAGATAAATACATGGTTCCATTTAAAAATAAAAATGATTAAATTTCTCGGAAACTAAAGGTACTTCGAACAATTTTCCTACGGTACATTACTTGCCCCATGATTCAACTTTGTTGAGCGAAAACTACATTTCAATATTGTGAACTGTTTAGAAGTTATGGGGGAAGCCGGTAGTTGGTGAGACTTTCTGTATACACACAAAAACAGATAACAAATAAAAAGAATAATGCATCCCCCGACAAAAAAAATAATTTTGTGCATCCCCCGACAAAAAAAACGGTTTTAGTTTAAATTCTGAATATACTTTTGCCCCACAAAAATTGAACTTAACCTGATGAATGGGTAACTCAGCAAATTGGAAAAGAATTCGAGTTGCTAGAATTCTTTCTTGATTCGTGATTCCCTTCCTGAGCTATCTTCTCTTGTCTTCCCGTTGATGGTGATTTTTTTTATTTTACGAGCGCATTTTCATGGTCAGTTTTGGCGCTCTATGATATAAAAATTATTTTATTTTTGTACAAGTGAAAATAATAGCGCAATGTATTAATTCCCCACCCCTCCATTTACCTATCCATCGCGCACGCAGGCAGTGTTTGGAACGCTTTCTGAACACTTGTGCCTGAAAAAAATCTGTCAGAGTTTAGCCAGTGAGAGTGGCCAGGTATTTCTTAAGGACATATATACTCATCAGATTTCACTTTTTTTTCAAATTTCGTGTGTGGAGTGTGCTTTTGTTAAATAGTGCAGGAGCGATTTGCAGGAACCGTCTTAAAACTGCCGCGCGCCACTGTTAGCACAAAAAATGTGGCTATTTTTGTTGAATCTTATATTTCACAGACATTTCTATTTTTATTTCCTCAAATGTATATTATTATTATTATTATTATTATTATTATTATTATTATTATTATTATTATTCGGTGTCCATTTATCTAAAACGTTGGCATTGCATTCTTGCAAGTCTTAACGCATTCAGAAGAATACTGAAGCTATCTCATGTTGCTTGACGATGTTATCTATGATACCTGCCACCGAATTGAGTGCGGAAAAAATATTCAGATTGTTTCCTTGCGCAGTATTGATAAGAATGACGAACGGATGCAGGCAATGCCAGAACGTTATCTCCGAATGCATCAATGTTACTGAAATAATGGCAAAAATGTTCTAACATTGCGAGAATCGGCGAATTGAGGGGTCTAGTTTCAAAACGCGACTTGTCCATCTTTGGTGAAAATGAGATATTGTTTTCAATAGAGGTCCGTTGCAGTTATGCGTCATTCTATAAAATGATTTGTAACAAAACCCGTATTTTTTTTTTACTCCAGAGGGCTTCATAATTATGTTATTATTAGAACGCATATCATTTCGTTGCATATCAATATCATTTCGTTGCAAAGTGCGATCTTTCCAATCCAGCAATCAGATATTATTGTGTCACTATGTTTTGGCGCCGTATTATATCAAAATCAAAGTTTATCATTCTATAGAAATCCAACTGGCCTAAGCACTGACCAAGCTGATACTGAAAATGATTAGTATTGTGAAAGTCAGCAGTTAGAGGTTGCTGATCTTCATATCTGATGAAAAATGCCATACGAAATCCAAATTTTTAGCTCAACTCTCTTCATAATGACTAGATATTTCTGAATTATCTTAAACTCTTGTTTTTATTTTCACTAACCACAGGCATTAATCCCAAACATTTAACTGCAGAATGTTTAAACAAATGATATGACTGTTTTTGTTTTTCTCAAAACAGACTAGAATGAAAAAGTCCCATTTTTAAACTAGACCCCTCAATTAAGTGTTATCTGCCAATATTTTATTTTTATATATGTTGATTTTTCCACGTGAGTTGGGGATTCTTTTGTTTAGTTTTTAAATAACAATAAAATATTTTTGTGATGTTTTGGTATTATTGGACTTGCTCATGATGCTGAAATCTTTTAGAAATCTCCAAAAAGGCATGGGCGGTCCAAAAACCGCGGCGCTAGCTGAATCATTATAAAAAATGCTCGAGTGGTGCAGGGTTAACATATATTATTGTTATCTCCACCCTACATAATGCGTTTTTCTAATTTCACATACTAGCGATCAATTTTCTGATTTCTTCAGAATTGAAATATTCGCCTTCTTCCGGAAAGCGAATTTTGACCGCTTTATGCATAAAACTGGCAAGACAAAATAGGATGCCAGTCCGGACGGTCGAGATCACTAAGACAGTAGTACCGTAGCGATCTCGGACCGAAGGATCGCGGAATCGAGTCCCACCTCGGGCATGGTTGAATTGTGTTCGTCCTTCCACCTCTTATCGTCATCATATCGTGTCATCCTCATAGTTACCAAACCGTTACCCGCAATAGTGGTCGCTAATGACCGAGTAGTTGACGCGACCTTAAATTTTAAAAAATGTAATATATTGTAATTTAATGGATTTTATGGTTTTGTAGAATGAATAGAATACTTACGCAGACTGGGAATCGAACCCGCTGCTTCACGAGTTCTAGAACAACGCTTTCGCATTGAGTCATTCTTTCGCTCTGCTATCACTCCTCTTATAACAACACTTTTTATATTGACGTAACTTGAAAGCAACATTACATTTATAAAAGTTAATGTCAATTCAGTTTCATGGGCAGGAATCACGGAAGTCTTTTCCCCTGTACTACTGTATTTACTCGCAATGGACGTTCAAGTATTTTATACACTCTTCAATGAAATAAATTTAATCTTGATACTTCAATGTACGTTTAGATTTAGATTTATTCAGTAAAAAAACTGTAAAAACTGTATGTGACATGGGGGGAAAGTACAGAACGTAGTTTTGAAAATAAACGTTTGATCGCGCTGTCGGCAAGCAGGAATGTTCAGAGCCATCAACCTCTCAGACCAAGGCATTTTCCAATTTTGGAAACTTAATGTTTCCAAATGTGTACGTATCTACGGACTAATAATATACGTACTATAGGGAAAGTTATGAAATGCTGCGAAAAATCAATTTCGAGAT